CGATATAAAGGAAAAGCAAATTGGCAGTGTCGAGGATCTTGTCATTTTGCACAGGATTTCTACAAGTATTGTACAATGATTTTAAATCATTAAAACTTAAGAGTACTTACAAATAATTATACTGGAAAACATTAGAATACAAAACTGAATTGCCTTTTACTAAACTATCTATGCCAATGAGCCCAACCTAAGAACTTTTACATCAGTTTGAGAATAATTATTTTCAGTGCTTTGTGCTTTTTTTTCCTCCTATAAAAAAAAGGTTTGTGTATGCCTATTGGTAATGCCATGTGTGTTGGAATGTTTAATCATCACCAAAAGTGCTGTATTTCATGCTTGCCCCTCTCTGTGCCTCAGCTTCCTCATATAAAGAGGACTCCACTGGCCCCCACATCATGGTGTTCTGCAGACAGCTGAGTTACCCACATCTGTCATTTGCCTGACACACAGTTGATGCTCGTAATCTGTGAGCTTTTTATTGTTTTCAAACTACGCTGTGTCAACGGACAGAGTCACAATTCTCCTATCACTACAAACACTAGTCTACAAGCAGCAACAACAAATTATCTAGACCCAATCTGTCGTTTCCCAGAAAGCTGACGTCAGCAGGATGCCCCAGGAGGGAGAAGTCGCAAACCCACACAGAGACCAATCCAAGGTGCCCTTGGCAGGCTTCTCGAGTCCCCGGTCTTCCTGTTCCCACCCTGTGTGGTAACATGTTTGAACAGACGATGTACCCCTTTGTTCTCAGGATGGGTCGCTGGAGTCTAAGACTGTCCCTTCCCACCTGTGTCACATGCCAAACAGGAATGCGTTTCTAGAGTAAAAAGTCTTGCATAAAAATATGCTGGATCACTACAGTGTAACAACAGAATTGCTGCTGTTTGATACCAAAACGTTTTTTTGTTCTTTCCTTTGGAGAGAGTGGAAGCTATGGAAAGTGAACAGCTACTTTAAACCAAAGAAGAGAATTTGATTTTTAGGTATCATTGAATCTGGCGACAGGGAGAGGGAGAGAGAGAGAGAGAGACTATCTCATTAGAACTGAGAATTTGTCTGGCAGGAGACTGCCGACCAGAATCACTGTGGATCAGTGGCTCTTAGCCTTGGCGTTGTTGACATTTGGGGCCAGACGATTCTCTGTAGAGGGAGCTGGCCTGTACATGGCAGGATGTTTGGCAGCACCCTGACCTTGGCTCCCTGATGCCAGTGCTGTGCGTGGTGTGTGTCCTCCCACACTGTGACATGAAAAAAAGTCTCCTAAACCACTGCTACTTATTGATTCCAAATCCAATTCTCTCGCTGATGTTTCCACTGGACAAAGTGCTAAATATCAGTCACCCTTATAAGCCGGACCCCACGCCGGTCACTGAGTACATGAGTATTAACTAAACAGTCCCTGTCCTTGGGGAGCATAGTAGTGAGACAGACAAACCAAAGCCTCAGCACCGTGTCGGGGTCAGGAAAGACAGAGCAGTTTTCACTAAAGCTTTCTTCTCAGATAACTTGAATCCTAAAGCTGAAAACTGGAAAGGATTCGCTCAAGGCGGAGGGTAGACAGAACATTCCAGGGATAAAAGTTCAAACTGGCTAAAAGCACCGAGGTGACCAAGAGCTTGGGCGGTCTCAAGTGTGGTGGAACATGGTAAGGGTGAGGTGTGGGTAGAAGGGGATCTGGGATCCACAGGGAGGGTGACCTGTCATTTGTCTAAAAGGGCACACGTTAGAAACCGAGACGGGGTGTGATGAATAACGGTGCCTGTTATACAAGGACCGCAGTTCCCGCCAGCACCAGCACAGGAAGGCACCAGCAGAGTTCTCTAAACACAAGCAGGACTCTCCCTCCCGTTTTCATTTTTCCGAGAAGACCAGCAAGCCACATACAGAACCCTTCCCTCATTTGCTCAACAATATCCCCCAGCAGCCAAGGAATGCCCAGTTTGGGGAGATTTCATATGAACACGGTGGCTGCCTAACACTGCCTGAAATGAATCACGATTTGAGTCCTTTACATTTCTCTTTGCTTATAGATTTTTATCAATTAAAAGTCATTTGATTAAAAACACACAACTATATAAAC